GCAATTTAGAAGCCTCATTAGATGAAACATTGAAGCTGTATCTAAGAACAGTACATCCTTAAGAGGAAAAGCATATCTGTTTATTCTGATATAACCCTGCATCAACCTGCATGTGACAAATAAGCTTGCTTTTGTTTTTCAGTTTGTCAATTGGAAGCATGGTTTCTTTGCCTCAAATCCCATGCACAAGGCACTGAAAATTTTGCATGCCAAGGAAATGTGCATTTGCCTTAACATGTGATTGGCCTTCAACTGGTAAAAAACATTATACTGAAGATGGATATATAAACATATTTCAGATATTTGTTTGTACAGTTTCCTAAATATTTGTAACTAGTGCAGATACTAAATGAAAAGTGCAAGAACCTGTACTCTAGATGCAGCTTTGATGACTATGGTGGATTAAGCATTTCCCCAGTGGTCCTAACAGCCCTTCTCTCAGAAAATTGTTGCAGTTGCAAATGTTGCACTTGTTCATTTCTTTGGTTTGCGTTGGAACAACACAAAAAACAGAGAAGAAAAGTCAAATTGGATACAATCCCACACAGAAACCCAAACATGCACTGGCCAAAATTATTGGCACCCTGGTCTTAATATCTGGTTGCACCCCCTTTGGAAAAAATAATTAAATTAATCACTTCCTGTAACCATGAATGAGTGGTTTTTGTGCCACTCTTCTTTCGCAAACTGTTCACTGTAAACCAGATCCATTTTTAAAAAAAGAATTCTGATTTACTATGAACCAAGCAGCACGGTGGTAACCACTGCCCAATCATCACTTCCACTATGAAAAGTAAGGGCTAAAAAAAACCCCACAGAACTTCTGTCTGTGGCTTAGTCATCACAACATCTGATCTTGCCAGTATGAGGCCTCTTTGACAACATGGCAAATAAGCAAGCCACTGATGGTTTGTTTAGCTGGTCCTGCTCAAAATGGGAGTGATCACACAGCGTGTACCCACATGCAGCAGCATTGTTCACAGTAAGCCAGAATTTTGGATTGCTGCAATATCTGATTGTACCCTGTATTTTTAAAATCAAAATATCTGAAGCCTATTATTAGCTATCAAAACATGGCAATGACTCATTTCTTACCACATGCCTCTTTGAAAGGTCAAGAATTCCTGTCAATTAGACAGACAGAGAAATATACAAAGAAATTAAAATTTCTTTGCTCACGGCGTATGCGATCCCCTTAGATATGTACACACAGATTTTTTTTAAATCCAACCTTGTAACTGAGGAAAAATGTTGATTCAATATTACTATTTTTAACAATGTATATAACCTGAAAAATATAACCCAATGCACATATACAGTACTTAGAAGTACTGTAGCTTTAAATTCAACTCAGAGTTCCTCCAAAGTAAGTAAACATAGGACTGCAACCCTCACATCCTTATAATAATGAATTTACAGCTGCTCACCTGTACATTTGGCCTATTCCTTTTGGTTGCACCTTCAAAAGCCAAGTAGGACAGAGATGCTTGCTCACTTCCTCCAACATCCACCTTGAATATGTCCCCAGCTTTGGCAGTCACTATGCCTATCACATGATCTCCCTTGACTGGCACATACTAGTTTGAAAAGAGTTAGAATTGTTAAAACAGGCTTTTAAAATAGGCATATTGCTTTTCAGATACAAAACATGCAAAGATTGATGCAATGGAGCACTCTTTTCCCAAACAATAAACCATAATTTCTCCTTAATATTGATGTCCAGGTATCCAACTGTACTACCACAATCCACCTGTGAAAATATTCCCCTATTACTAGTGTGATTGATAATTTACATCCTCCTGCTCTCAGATACCTGAATACATTGTTATCTCTTATTTCTCTACATGATTCAATAAGGTAGCCTAAGGACAAAGTCGAACCACATACAACAACTATACCACGAAAATGTAGGTTAGTTTTTAACTGTCTGAGAGACTAGATAAAATATAGTCCCAAACCAAACTCCGCTCTTCATTTCCATGTTCTTTTACATAATTTCCCATTCTAGACTACATAGATACACACACTGCTAACAAGGGCTGTCCTTCCACCCACCCCATTTTTAACAGTCTGCTCTGCCAAATTTAAGCAAGGGGGGAAATGTTTGGCACCTATGACTGGCCAAGGTCACCCAACGAGTTTTATGGCTCAATTGGGGACTTCAAAGTAGACTTCCCAAATCCCAATCCCCCCCCCCAATACATCACTTTTAAACAGTGTAACACACTAGGTCTCAAGTCAAGGTACATAAGAAGCGTTCTGAACATATTACAACACGATTTAGGAAAGGTAATTCTTTTAATAATCAGATTTTCTTGCTTCCTTCCGCCTCAATTATCATCTGATCGGGTTAACAGCACACCCATCACAAAACGGTTCCCAACCGGTCACTCATCTACGCATGCGCAGTCCCTCCGCCTTCCCTTACCCGCCTCTGCTGAGAGTCCACCCAATAAGTTCCCCCGGAACTACTTCCGGCGCCCGTCTGTCCGGAGGGGCCGCGATAGCGCAACAGTCCGCATTTCGTGACCAGTAGGCCTTCCCCGCCTCTTCTCAGCCCTGGCCCGCAAACGAGCCGCCCTTCCCGGGTCCTACTGGTCACCAGGCGCAACCGTTCGCCATCGGCCTCTGCTTGGCCGGGCAGGAGCAACGCATCTCCCGGTAGGACCACTTGCCCGATCCGCTCCTCCGCCAAGCAAGAACCGCCGCCCGCCATGATTGAAGAGGGGACCCAACTTCCGTGGGAGGCGAACCCAATGCGCTTGCGCAGAAACAGACGTCTTCCCTTCCCCCCAGAGTTTTTCTATGGTAACGGCTGTCTCCAGGTGACCATAGAGGCCAGGTTGCTAGAGCAGCACTGTCGTCTTGGCCTCGTGGAATCCCTGAAGTCAGTTGTAGAGTATTAGCAAAAGCATGACCAGCCATGTGAGCGAGGCGCAACTACTGTATATCTGTACTCTGAGTGCGTCTGGATTGTGCAGCGGCCAGCGTGAAAGTTGGATGATTGCAGGCGATAGAGAGAGGGATGTTAGTGAAGATGTACTCTTCAGATGTCTCCGTAGAAGGGATGTTATCGACTTTGAGTAAACGATTTGATCAAATTTGTTGAGAGGCAAAGCTACTGTACTGTTTTTGGAGCCCGAAGACAGAACGTAGATAGAATATTTGGCATTGCAAGTATCCTGCCTCTTTTAAGAGGATGCTTTTCGTTAGCACTATCCAAATAAAGAGGTTACCTATTTCGGCAGTTAAAAGTTTAAGCGATTGTTTAAACATAATTCCCTTCCAATATTGTAATTGTTATGCTTTTCTGTACCTATAATGAGTATACAGCATATTGCAAATGAAACCTGAATAATGTGTTGCACTACTGGGGCGGTATATAAATCTATGAAAGAAAGAAATAGAAATAAACTTCAGAGTATATTTACCTTCATATGTCAGGATGGCATATTTCAGTTACCCAGAATTTGTTGCCTAAGATGCACAGAAATGCACCTACAAGTTACCCACTCTATGAAACTTGTCCCCTGATATATTGTTATCAATCTCATCAAGTTTCAGCTGTTCACCATGTATTGAAGGAGAACAGCTGCCACTACCTGGGACAAAATGTATCCCATGAAGTTTGCTTTTTTGTCTTGGCTTATGTAATGGCCCTGTGCTTGGGTGGGCCATGGTGCTGAGAACCAAGTGTTTTCATCACAATTGTAGTCATGCAATCCACTTTAAACTTCAAGATGGGTGGCCCAGAATGTCTTGAGCACTGTATGCTGCTTATTCTCCCTTCTGTGTATACGAATATAAACAAAAGCAATTGAAAAGGAATTCAGGAATCCCTAATTACTTGTCATGAGGGAAGAGGCAATTTTAACCATCCCTCCTTCCTTCCCAAAGCAATGACTGTAGGTTACCACTCTGTATAAACAAGTCCTGAAGATGTTTCTCTCTCCTTCCCCCTTTATTTAAGGCTACAAGTGGGAGGATTTAAAATTGTGGTGGTGCAAATGTGAATAATTGCATTATGTAGTAACAACTTCCTCCTTGGATACTGCTTTCTAATCTGCAATATAATAAGGCCCAGATTGTAGGTAAGGTAAAGGTTCCCCTTGACCAGTCATGTCTGATTCTAGGACATGGTGGTCATCCCCGTTTCCAAGCTGTAGAGCTAGCGTTTGTCCGAGGACAGTTCCATGGTCATGTGACCAGCACAACTAGACACAGAATGCCGTTACCTTCCCACCAAGGTGGTACCTATTTATCTACTTGCATTTGCATGCTTTTGAATTGCTAGGTTGGCAGGAGCTGGGACAAGCGACGGGAACTCACCCTGTTGCTTGAATCTGATCTTATGACTGCTGGTCTTCTGACCTTGCAGCACAGAGGCTTCTGCGGTTTAACCCGCAGCGCCACCATGTCCCTTTTAGATTGCAGGGGCAGTCAGTAAAGTGTCTCTCTCCTGCTGCCTGAAGCTTTCCTAACAGACTGAAAAATTCCACAACCTGACTTAAAACAATGTGATTCCTGGAAGGAGTCAGAGTAGCTCTTGGTGAAAAGCAAAGTAACTGGGTTCCTGCAGATTTTCAATTCCTTTCTGAGTAAGCATAACAAGGTTTATGCAGCCAGGCCCTACATAGAAACAATAAAAGCAATTGACCAAATACTAGTGACTTTGCAGTGGTTCCCTAAAATGACCACACAGCGTCTTTTGTGGAAATGTTTCCTCAGTAAGATTTCTGCATTGGTGCAAATTTCATTGCAGATTGCACAGATCCCACGGGGGTGGGAGACATTTGACCTTAAGAGCTCTTGACACTACCACCAAGGGAAAAAAGAAATGAAGTTGTTTGTGTTTTTTTTCCCCCCAGAGGATCTTACAAATGAGACCTCATCCAAGTTAAGTTGGCTGTGATGAAAGGGATCTCTTGACTCCTGTTTGTGTGATGTGGTGAGGAAGGCAGATATAGCTCCCAGGCAGATAGGTTCCAAACCAGGGGAAAGGCGAGGCAGTGGAAGCAGGTACTGAAGTACTCACCAAAGTAGACAATCAGGGCAGGGTGATCCAAAGCAACAGTCCAATATCAGTGCACTTAAAAAAAACAAAAGTAAAGATTTCTTTTAAATTATATGCTATAAAACAAAATTCATGTCCTTTAAAACAGTGGTTCCCAACGTTTTCCCAACTGCGGACCGGTTGGGGGGGTGCGCCTGCAGGGGGCGGAGCTTGTTCGCATGCATACACATCATGCTCGTGGGGGTACTCGCATGCATGCGCACAGCGTGCTCGAAGGGGCGGACCCCGTATGCTCTCAACAGCGCTCACGGGGGAGGGTAGGAGATCTGTCTGCGGCCCAGTCCTGGATAGGCTGCAGACCGCTGACGAGTTGCAGACCAGGGGTTGGGGACTTCTGCTTTAAAACATGAAAGAAATGGGATGGCTTCTAACAGAGCACATTTAAAATGGAAGTGGAGCAGAAATGTTTATTATTTCTTTTTATTCGACACACTGCTAACTGTTTAAATTTGATAGAAACAAACACCAGCAACAAAATAATGGACTGACAGTTGCTGTGGGGAAGACAGAAACCTCATGTAGTGTCGGGCAGTCACAAAATAAACACAATTTATAAATATATACTACTAATTTTTCTTAATTTAATATTACAGTAGAATGGCAACTAACACAAAAGTATAATTTACAGATATTTATTGGATTTTAAGCTGTGTGAGGGCCTAATCACACCGGTCAAATGTTCCCCAGTTATACCCATTAGATTGTTGTATGAACTTCAAGTCACATGAGTGTGAGGAGGAGAGTATGGAAACAACAATGCAGTCATTATCACATCATTTCCCCAGACAACAATGTATCTGCGGTTTATTTCCCCCTTGCTGAGAGGGTTGTGTTATTTTGTTTTGGTGATTTTTCGAAACATTCCATAGCAGTATTGATTGTGTGAATATCAATCTCAAGGTACTGCCTTGAGGAGGTGCACCTGCCTTGCCAGCAGAGGGAGGGAGGCATGGGCTGATGGGAGCCACATGGAGGAGCCTCAGAGCAATGTCGTATGGGGAAACTCATGAGACAATGAGTGCCGTGAGCATCTTGCCTGCAACGTAAGGCTGCCAATACTCCAGCTCCCCAGGAAACCAGTCCACATAATCCAGACTACAGCCTAACACAACTGGAAGTAGCCAATAGAGCAAAAGGCTCAAGACATCAAGCTAATCCAAAAGTGCAAGGGTTAGGGCTTTAGCCCTCAAAGAACCTCTATGACGTATCTCTACAAATATAAAGTAAGGGGCTCCAGCGCACTAGGAAATAAGAGAGGAATTAATTTGGTTCCATGGTATAGCCAGCCATAATGTTACAAATAGGAAGAAATGAATCAGTAATGTTAAAGGAAATGGGAATCTTGCTCCAGTGTATATACCATGTGTCTGCATTTCAGTACAATAGAGAGATATGGAATGTACTGTTAGAACTGGAGAATGTTTGGCTGGTGTGATCAGGCCCTAAGATTATTATTTTTTTAAAGAAATGGTTCTTATAGAAATGGGACCTGGCAATCCTCCTGACTCAGCCTTCTCCAGTGAATGTAATCCTGGTAGGGGCAACGGGAGAGGAATACAAGCAAGAAGAAAGAGGCAGAGGGAAGACTGCTATGTTTTCTACATTAATGTACCTTACCTGAGTGAAGGTTACCACACTCCTGACCCTCCTGTATATCAGGCAGGGAAATGATGCTGGACTAGGAGTATCTGAAAGAAAATGTATTTGGCAAGGGGTGGGTGAAATCCTTCTTCATCTTTGGTATTCACCAGAATCCACTGGCCCCTTCCACACACTGCTTTTCAGTGAAATGAAGAAAAGCTGCAAATCAGACACCATTTGTCACACTGCTGTACCTTTTCTTGGGAAAAAGACATGCCTAACCTACCCAAACACACGAATCGTATCTTCATGTTGATACAATTAGAAGGTGACACCTGAAGACTTGGAGAAATAGCCTCCACAAAAGACTAGAACATATGATCTTAAGGCAGCTCCTGCTAGCTCAGACCATCTCTAGCTCAGCAAGCCAGCAATGGTCAGCCTGGCCTCTTCAGGAAGGCTCCAGACAATAACTTTTCCCTATCTTCATTCCAAAGGCAGACGATCTCTAGTTGTGATGAGGTTGGCTAAGGGCCAGCTATCTTTCTGTTAGCACCCAATTTTAGATTTCAGTTCTCCGGCAGGGAATAACAGATAAAGACAGTGCATCAATCAATCTATATGTGAGTCAATTTTATTAAATATATAGATGGACCCCGTCCTAAAAGGCGGATCGGGAGTCCCATCATGCATGTGGTAAAGCATTTTATAAGTTTCTTACACAAAATACAATAAGCACAGTATCCCCTTATTGGTCTCCTGAACCCTATGGGTGCCTGTTGGGTCATCCTATTGGCCGTGGTAGATGTGAGAAAAATATCCAAATTGCATCCCAGGGTTAGTGGCTGCCAAGTTTGTGAATTTGTGTGAACCATTGTGCAGCTTATCTTTTAAATATGTTTATGACGGATTATGAGCCATCTTGTTACAGTTTGTTACAGTCTTTGCCTGAAGCGCTATAAGTTGGCCTTGAATTGGGGGTGGTGGTTCTCACAAAGCTGTGTGATAATGTAGGAATATTTCTGTGAGCGCCAAGCGGGAAGGGCCAGGAGATTCAATACTTTGAGATGAAATGAGGATACAAAATACATTGACTATAGAGAATGCATATAAAGTACAGATACAAAAATGCATATCGAATATCATTATAGTAAGGAAATAGTAAGAAATCATATTTCAATTATAGGTACAAGGCATGATTACTTGTGTAAAATGCTGTTATATCAGAACCTCAT